ACTTTTCAAGGAAGAGCTGTCAGCCCAAATCCTTTTAGGCTTTTTGCTATCTCGATACCCTCTATCAAACGACGTACGAATGAAGAGAATCGGCGTTGGACACCTCGGGAGGTTCCCTCGTTAGTGGAAAATAACGAATTTCTTTTCAATCAACATCGATTTTTTTATGGCAATAAGTTTTAAAAACATTGTAGCCCAATTCATTTTTTTGATAGTTCGTTGCTTCTCCATTCCTCAAAAGAATTTAACTGGAAAACGGCCCATGACTCAAAAATTCCTGACAACTCCACTGATGTCCATATAGAAAAAAGTTATTTTTATTTAAGAAGCAACATGTACTGTTTATGAACGTTGAACTATACAAAATCTCTCATTCTTCATTCTTAGTTAACTTGTTCATTAGCTTATCCAACGAAAAACTAAGTGTGAGAAAGGAGCAAAAATTGTGGTAATAGGGTAATGAAATTCACCGACACTTTATGATTAAGTATTCTGAATGAAAAAAAGTGTTTTTCAGTGAGCCCAGTCGCTTCTCTTATTTAGGAAGATCTCTTTTATAAAATTCATTCAACAAATTACAAATGTACAGAAAAAATTACACTTCTTCAATTTTCATTTGCTTGTCAGTTTCACAAGTGGCGGACGATTGATTACTGTAAATAAAATGTTTATATTGTCGTCAACGATGATTTCTACTTCATTGTAGAATACCGTTTACAGTATCTGTCAGAATTTTAACTACTACTCATGCTGCACATTTACTTGAACTGCCACCGGTATACGGAAGGTCAAAAAGGTAGCGAAGTATGGATCAGTAGATTCCAACTCGGATCCTATTGGTAAAGTATGAAACTGTCGACACAATTGGAACCGACCAGTATAAATCGTTCTTCACTTTTCTTATTATATGTGAGTCAAATCAATTTCTTAAATAGCTACATCTATTTCATAGTCACTACAGCAATAATCTGTAGATTCTGCCACTCTACTATATTGATTTTCCTTGCTTATTTTCACGAATCTTCTCTCTATTGTCATCAATGGATGCAGAAAAAACTTTATTGGAGTACAAATTCTATATTAGCTTTCTATAGTACTTCAATATACATCAGACATGAATATTATAAGTGCTACAATACATTTAATCTTTTTTGTCAGTTTTTAATTGCTTTATTGTGTACCATATATGAGAATTAAATACGCTATAAACAGTAAAAAATACTCATAAATCAATGACGACTTATCATACTGCATAATTCTTTGACTTTGGTTCGATAACTTGATCACGTTTTTTTTTTGGTACTGACGCCTATCTTGGTCTCCATCTAGAGAAAGCGATTCCAAAATTTATTGATATAATATTTTAAAAAATTTTCTATATTCATTTTTTTTATTCATTTAGTTGGTGACTAGCACGTTTGAGATCATCTTCCTTGATTTATGCTCCGATTGATATTCTAGCGATAGAATATTTAACTATAATCTTTAGTTCTGGTTGAGATAAAACTTTTCTCATAGCTTCGGTTCCGATCTGGTTCCGCACATTTTTTAGTTACGACTTTAATTTTTGCATCTAATAAAAAATATTTTATAAATATATCAGGATTTGTTCACAATCGTGTTTATATTTCTCAAGTGAATCTCAATAGACATAAAATTGGCGCTTGCGTATACCAATAAAATCTTTGTATTTCTTCTTTGTATTTTTTTGTTGTTGTATGTCTACATCAAATAAACGCTTCTTTGACGATGATCTATTTCAACAATGTTTCATTTGTTCAACTTCATCAGTCAAAAAACGTCTTTGCATTTCACTAGTACCAAGTGTACCTCGAGGTGGTACAAATAATATACATAAATTTACTCTAAATCGCGCGACGTCATCAGATAACAACTTTAGCACAAAAAATTTGTTATTTTATTCAGAAGAAATGGCATTCGGTACTAATGAGTAAAAGGTATCGAAATAATTTGACATCTAAAATTATTTTCATTGCATACAGAATGATGTTGCTTTTTTTATCGAAAATTTCAATACTATGCGCTTAAAAAGAAAAAGTATGATTTCACGATTTTTTTTTTCTCGTATTTATTTATTTATTTATTAGTTCGTCTATATGAATAACAAAAAAAAGAACTATTTAACTATAAATATTTATGCTGACGATCAATTAAGATCATCGAATACGAAAAATCATACAATTAAAATTGAACCAAGTTCTATGTATATTCTATATCCACAATTGTTCGATGTTAAAAATCTACCATCAGTACCTATTTGTTATAAACAAGAAACTTTAAACAAAAATCTTGATCGAAAAATTGAAGCAACCTTTGAATAGAAGATTTGTTTAATTATATATTCTCGTGTTGAATCAATAAAAATAAAAATAATCAGTTCTATATTTCTTATACAATGTAAGCAAAATGAAATGATTGTAGCTGAAAGAGCATACTCTTTTTTTTTTGTTCTTCTTGGGCGTCTTTCATTTTTTTCTTAACTCATTTTTTTTTGGTGGTATTGTTGTCGTATGTTGTTGTTAACAACACAAATACTAGAAATACATAAGAGATTATAAACAAGTGGAACTGAAATTAATTGTATCTGTGTAAGAAAGAAAAAACGAAAGAAAGTATACTTATCATGAGTCAAGTTCAGATTAGACAAGTATCATCAAAATCTTTGACAAATAATCAACAAATTATTGGTTCATGGGTAAGAAATATTATTCAACAAGATTAATTACTTAGTTATTTGTTTTTCTATGTGTATAGTTTCCAACTGGTTATTATGGTCATTTTAGAGCTAAATCACGTATTGATTTATGTAATGATTTTCGTCAATTTGCTCGACCTAGTCCACCTAAAAAGTTCTTAGATCGACAAAATGTAAAAAGTTTTATTGTCTTTTTTTTTGTTCTGAATATATTTTTTCAATCTTAGTCTGACGCTACTTCACATATGTTTTCTCAACATGATAATCGATCTAAATTTGAATGTGATCCACTTGTTCGAAGTACTCAAATAGTAAGATAAATAATTCTTTTTTTTTTTTATAAATTATTCTTAATATTCTTTATTCAAAGGGTTTTGGTAGACGAAAATCACAAACAAATGTACAGGGTAAATTCGATCCATTTTTTATTAGTTGGATTCCAGAAAATGTCAATCGTAATAATTATATTGATGATATTAAAACGACTTCATATGCTAATGATTTTAATTCGGATTTAACGTCATCACAAATTTTATTTAATGCACAACCAATTGATTCGTCATCATCTTCAAATGAACTTAGTGTTTATTCAACTGTTTTTAATCATGGTCAACCAGATGAACAACAAGCAAAACAAATTCATCAAGAAACATTTCAAAGATATTCAGCAACTTTAACACGTCGTTCACAAATACAACATAATGAACGAAGTACGAATGTTGCTTCATGCCTTGTATGGAATAATCGAAATAATGAGAATGAATCTACTTCATTAGAACCTCATATTACTCAACATGATATACCTATAATTAAGCAACAAAAACCATATCAAAGTGAATCTATGCAAACGTTTAAAACTATGACGCAGCCATATTTCAATGCAGCTACATCGCCAGACTATCGTCATATTCAAGTAAAATCACCACTTCAACGAGCTAACTCATTTGGACGAACACGTACTAATAGCATGGAACATCTTATTACAAAATATATGTAAAAAGAATTCTTTTCATAAATAAAGAAACCATAAAAAGAATAAAATTAATGAATTTTCTTCTAGCTGTTTTGTCTTTCATATGTAGACATATTTACTTTCAATGTTTCAGTTGAATATAATAGAACACATTACTGATAGCTACAGTTATAAATGAATAAACCAGCAAAACATAATATCGCTGAGATAAACTCAACTTTGATTAAAAGCGCAAAATGTCAAAAAAAAAAAAAGAAACTTCATAAAAATAAAAAGGTAAATTCTGCAAGAAAGACTATGCTGAAAGATGTTGGATAAAGATGTTATTATTGCATGATCACTATCGACCTATCGAATGTGAGTACGAGTGTGTAGCTGAGGAGAAGACACACTCACATCCATACCCTCTAAATATATGCGATTGGATTAGTTTTATGAAAGTAGAAGAAAAACTTGTACAAAATATTATACTTTAATGTCCTTATCTTGTATTGAAGCAGAAAAACAAACGAACAACAACATAACAAAGTCGAACAAACATCTTGTCTAAATGAAATAAGTTACGATTGTACAATAAAAACATTATTTAAGATTGAGAGTGCACATTTTAACATATTTTCTTTCGACCAAAGTTGAGACAATCATTTAAGCGATTGCCATTCTACCATGGTATATCGATAGTTGTTTTCTGATCGGTGATCTAGTTCTGATATATCTTTAGTTTTTATGAGTATTGTTGACGATTAAATTCTTCGAAATTATTTAGTTTAAATTGAATTTAATTAGTTAAATATTATTTTTTTTGTTATTTTCAAAGCATTGTTGCAACTAAATATCTTGAAAGAACAAGATTATTGATTGTATCTCATGTTGGTAAGAAGAGAAAAATGTTTTGATTGTTAAAAGCATTTTTTTTTCATTCCATTGTTTGAATTGTAACGAACTAAAATGTTCATCAATTTTCCTTGACACATTTTCGTTTACTAAAATTCTTTTGATTTCATATGAATACAAGAAAGTCATTTAATCTATGTATGAAATTCATTTCGTTCAATGTACGATGATTAGTAAACAAGTAAAATGATTACGTATATATTATTATATTCACTGTATTTTTCTGCAATTTCATGAATATTATTCTTCTAAGATACTGAATAATAAATTACCACAGTTGTAAAACTTTTAATATAAAATTTTAGTCATATAGTGAATATTAAAGATCGATGAGTTATTAATGAACGTTAAGTTGAGGTCATGTAATTTATATATTGAATTGAATATCGATAGAGTTCGTTAAAGAAAAGAGATTGATAAAGCAAAAAATTTTTTTCTTTGTCAAATGTTTTTTTTATTCGATTTTAGAATCTACAATATCTGATTTCAAGTAACCGATTCCAATAGATGGAAGTCGATGCGAGCAGCGGAATCAAGTACAACAGATACAAGCAGATCAACGTTTTTTCAGGTTTGACTTCTCTAGTTTTTTTTTTTATGCGAGTATCATACTAATAATTACTAAAATAGAATAAAGTATTGATCTTCATAGAAAATCAAATAAGTCATTTGAATCGATTTAAGATAACTCGAGTAATAACTCTCTAATGTCAATATGCAAGGAGATCGTTTAAAATGTTAATCACTATTAAGAAGTCTCGGAGAGTATTTTCAATAGATCTGACCAACAGGAATGTCATTCACAGTATTAGATATATGACGATGATAAGTTAGTATCGATCAATATGAACACTCGTCTTGATGATCTCTCCAAAACGGTAATCGATATTTATGTAGCTTATCTTTTTTAAATCTCTTCCTTAGAATTAATTCTGTTGCATCTGTTGGCTAACAAAATATTCATAAATACTTAATATCAAAGAAAAACAAATTACAAGCAGGCAACCTTAGCGGCCCATTTGAGACTCTGAAGCCCAAATCTTTCAATTAAAAAATCACACTAAATTAAATCGTATTTTACATGAGTTTCAAAGAAATGATAATTTTTCTTTTCTACATAGCTGATTAATCAATCTATCAGAGTAAAGATGCAATTTTCTTCCTTTTTAATTTCAGAATTACTTCAAAATCAAGTGTCTGTAGAGAAATTGATTAAATGAAACGGCTGAAAGAGAAGTTTTTGTTACTTATGATGTTGCCGATGTAAAAAGTATCAACGAAAGGAAATCATCAATATCTTTAGGCGACCTCTTTTCTTGTGACTTCTAATTCGTTAGATTATGCTTCGGTCTATATGAGTCATGTGGTCTTTTAGGCATAGCTGTCTGTCTATCGGTCGGCCAACCGACCGCACCCATTGTGTTTAAATGCATTTACACGTTATTTGTTTGTTTATTCCGCATTTTTTTGAAAGGCACATGGTTATATTATATATCATAAAACAATTTTTTTTTTCCATAATAAGATTTCTCAATAATCAATTAATCATGTTTTATTATAGATAGATACACACAAAGAGGTGACTCGTTAAACATTACCTATTGTTTATTCTTTATCGAGAATTTCGAAATAAAAATTTCATTTTGTCTATGTTTCATTTTTTCTTATTGACATTTAAACTAAGGAAACAACTATAGATGGGTGATAGGAGAAAATTACAGGGTAAATTATTGTTTTATCTTTTTTTTTTTTTTTTTGTATTTAATTTTAATAAATAAATTTATTTTCTTAGGTGAAATTGAACGTTGTTTAAAAAAAGTAACCGAAGGTGTCGAAACATTTGAAGATATATGGCAAAAGGTAGAAAAAAAATAATTCATCATGATATTGAAAATTAAATTTTTCATTATATTTATTTGTTCAAAGGTACATACAGCACCTAATCATAATCAAAAAGATAAATATGAACAAGAATTAAAAAAAGAAATAAAAAAATTACAACGTTTACGTGATCAAATTAAAGCATGGATATCATCAACAGAAATTAAAGACAAAAAATCTTTACAAGAAGCAAGAAAAAATATCGAACAAGTTTGTTAAAAATTTCAATAAAGGAAAGAAAAATTCTATTTTTTTTTTTTTTTGATTTAGCAAATGGAAAGATTTAAAATAGTCGAAAGAGAAACAAAAACAAAAGCATATAGTAAAGAAGGTTTAGGTGCTGGACAAAAACTTGATCCACAAGAAAAAGAAAAAGAAGAATGTCATCAATGGATTACAGTAAAAAAAATAAATAGCGAACTAATTTTCAAATTCTGTTTTTCTTTTCTTAATAGGAAGCAATTCAAGAATTAAAAATTCAAGTTGATAAATTCGAATCGGATATTGAAACATTATCTGCATCTTTAAAAAAGAAAAAATCCGATAAAGACGTAAGTTTGCTTCCTTTTTTTCTGTCTGACAATAGTATTCGATATTAGAATTGTCTATACGGTTTTCGATAAAAGTAGCTACCCGCCGGGTAAATCCTATTATTCCTTATAATATTTTGAGTGCATGCGCACGACAATAAACCTTGATCACAGCCAGTAATTCGTTCACCTGTACCGGAGTTATGAATCACACATGTTATTTTCCTCGTGAGAAACATATTTAGCTTAAATATGCTACTCTTCAAAGTCCATGATACATTCTCAAGACTTTAGCAATAAGTAAATTTTGACATTGTAAACTCATGTTGTAGTGCTAATTCGACTTCATTCAATACAGAGATGGATAACTTCAACTCGAATTTCGAATAAAATTTTCAAATGAATTGCTCTTCAATAGAAAAATTCCGAGTAGAGATAGTTACGACATCGACATTTCGAGTGACGGGTTGGACAAAAATATTTGTGACAACACGACTGAGATAAGATGATCATAAGAGGAAAATAATGTGTGAATCATAACTCCAGTACATGTAAATCGGTAGAGAACGGATTGTTGTTTGCAAGCAAGATTTAATGTCGTACGGATGCATCCAAAATATCAGCTTAATATCATATAGAATAGTAGTACTTCCTAGGTGGCAGTAACTTTTGTCTACGACTGTATGTAAACAAAACAAAAAAACCATTCTCAAGAAGAATCTTTAATATACATTTCTCTAATCTAACAATGATAATGTAATTTATTTGATTTGAAATGATAAATCATCAACAAACTGAAGAACTATTAATCTCTTGACAAGTATGAAGTTATAAGGTGTTCAGCTCCATTTCGATTCATTCATATCTGAATCAATAGATTATATTGAAGTAAGAGAAAAACCTTAAGGAATTATGGCTTGTTGCCTATAAATAGATTTAAAGCTCGAAAAATTTCAACGAAAGAAACATGTCTTTCTCTTAGTTTACTCGAAAAATAGAGTTCTCGAAAAAGACATGTACGTTTTCATTGAAAATTTTGAGGCTGAAAATGAGTGGCTGTCAATAAAAATATTCAGTAAAACAGTCATAAGCTCGAAGTCTCCAAGGTTTTTTTTCTTCAATAAAACCTATTGAATCAGATATGAATGTGTTAAAAACAAAATTGGACACATCAGATATTTTTATCGTGAAATCAAACTAATAATAGCGTCGATAAAGACTGAATCTAAAATCTAAATAACCAACTGTACCATAAAATGTATTATTCGATGTGTGTATTTCTTTAAAAGTTTATCTAAGATAATAAAAATTATTAATTTATAATATTTCTTTTTTTTTTGTCATTTTTTCTTTAGAAACAAGAACGTCTAGAAGAAACAAAACATTCAATAGAACGTCATAAATTTCATATTGAATCTCTTGAAAAAATTCTTCGTGCAATTAATAATGATGCACTAGATCTTAAAACCATACATAATTTACGAGCTGATATTGAATATTATGTTGAATCAAATCAAGATTCAGATTTTAAAGAAAATGAATTAATGTATGAAGAAATTGATATGGATAATTTAATAACATTAATGGCACCAGTTATAAATGTACCAACACAATCTTATCCTCCATCATTATCAAATGGTAATAGTAGTTTAAATTCAAATACAACATCAAGTCATATAGATATTAGTTCATCATCAATGAATATCAATTCATCAACAAATTATTCGTAAGAATTTCATAGTAGAATAATAAAAATAATAATTATTTATTTATTTCATAAACTTTTTCAATTAGATCGGATCGTACAATAACTACGACTTCAAGTCATGGTGATAATGAATCAATTATGGGCCTTACAACACCATCATCAACACAAACTAGTTCACCAAGTGCTAGTCCAGCATTATCATTAACAGATGATCGAAAACGCAATAAATCTGAATCAGAAGATAATCAATCTCAACGAAATAGGTTAATAAATTTTGAAAATTTTAAATTACATATTTTTTTTTTCTATTTTATCTAGATCAAATTCAGGTGCAAACAATTTATCATCAGTACATGTACCTTCACCAAAAACTCCTTCTCAATTACAACAACAATCACCTAATATATTATCATCAACAAAACCAATATTACCATCAGCACCATCATCAGCTTCAGTACTTTCAACAAGTGCACCACCACATTTTACATATCCTATAACAACAACAACATTACCTATTCTTCAATATGCAGCAATTGTTTCACAAAATACTGTGCCATCAACTTCAACAACAACAACAAGTAGTAATACAACAATATCTAAACAAAATGTACTTTCTCCACAAACAAAACAACAATCAAGACAACTTCTAAATGGAACAATAACAATAACGAATACAAATGATTCAATAGTAACTACAACATCAACTCTACCTATATCATCAGTAACAACAACAGTTACTAGTTCATCAAATAGTTCTCATCCACCTTCATTATTATCCACGACTAATGATCGAACAGGTATTTATTTATTCTCATTGAAAATTTTATTTTATCTATTAACAATCAACACAGTTGAATTTGTTCAAAACCTTTCTTTTTAATTAACTGTATTCAGATAGATTAAATTTTATTTGAATACATAATAGAAAAAAAAACAAGAATCGATCCCTTTAATTAAAGATTAGTTTACTATTTCATTTATCAACGTAGAATATATTTTATTATTAATTAAAAAAAAAAATGTTACAAACAGTAAATATGCAGTCATCACAGTTACCTGGATGGAACAGTCGGAGTGGTGGGTACCGGTTAAGCTGAAGAAGAAAAGACCTCCAACTATTTATAGATGATTGCTTTCGAATTTCGACTTGAAACTTTGCATAGAGACAAGCCTTAATAAGAGTAATTTTTTACTCTTGTTGCTGTTTCTATCCTAAGATATAACTATGGTAATAGCGTGTCTTTTATCTTACACATATAAACCAACAGATTTTATATTCTTATTTCAGAATAGAACCAATTCGAATGTAATAATCTAAGGACATATAAATTCATTTCGATTTACAAAATATACATAGTCTAGACTCAAAATGATTAGACAGTTGAAGAACTTCCTTTGTGAGTATTAGTCGACCGGTTCAGGACTAGAATTAATGCATTATTTAATCAAACAGATCAGAACGTTAAAAAAAAAACACCTTATTTGCTGTTTCCATTTAAGTACTTTCATGTCTATTGAGAAAACATAAGAACCAATTACTTTCATTATAAATGATGTGTGAAAGCACTTAAAAAGAGGTAATTTTTACATCGGAAAAATGTGTGAGAATCTTTTCTCGTAATATTTTAATGTGTTTTTGAGATGCTAATGGCTTTTTTTTTAATGCATGGTATATGTCAAAATATATTGTGAGGAAATATTTTGAACATTACCCAGACGTAAAAATTACTTTTTTAAAATGTCTCCGTACACCTGTCATGATAAAACTAGCTGGTTTTTATGTTATCTTAATGGACATAAAAATGCTCAAACGAGAATCGCGATTAAGATGTTTGAACATGATTCTTAAAAAAAATTCTTATCTATATGGATAACAAAATGTATCATAATTATTCTTGTTAAATATTTTATTATGTACATATTTTTCAAGGTATATTATCACAACATATTCTCAATAATATATCTCAAATAAGTGCTTCATCATCATCAACATCAACAACAACAATTCCATCATCATTATATTCAGGTCCAGGAACAAATATATCAAATTGCAACATTCCTCTTGAATCATCTAATTCAATTGATCCAGCAATTGTATCTCAACAATCATCATTATTAACTCGTACAATATCAGAAAATGATCGTACAACAACATCAACATTAATAAGTAATGGTCCTTCAGATGGACATTCATTATTAGATAATGCATTTTCAACTATTCCAACATCATCAACATTTTTATCAAATAATACAACACATCTAGGAGATATTCCAACAACAAATGGTAGTGTTATGAATCAATTAACAAGTAGTATACAAATAAATCCTGAACATCATTCACTTCGTTATATGTTATCATCAAATATTATTCATCAACAACCAATACAAACAGGTCGTGTATCATTAACACCAGCTGAAATGCGCATGCTTAATAGATTAAATTCAGCATATGCAAAATTACCATCGTTACTCGAATCAGAACGACAAAGGTATGTTGAATAGAAAAGAAAAATGATCTTTTTCAATCAAATGTTTTTTTGTTTTTTTTTTCTATTTAAGAACAAATGCTAATCGTATTTATGGTCGAGGTCTACTTAGTCAATCACAAATTATTGCATATTATCCTCAAAGTCCACCAACAGGTAATGATACACCAGAATTTTATTATCGACTTGCACCTGATACATTATTCTTTGTATTTTATTACATGGAGGTAAGATTTTACATCGATAATTATTTTTAAAAAAAAAAACTTTTTTTTTGTTTAATTTTTAGGGAACCCGTGCACAATATTTAGCAGCTAAAGCATTAAAACGTCAATCATGGCGTTTTCATACGAAACATATGATGTGGTTTCAACGACATGAAGAACCAAAAACAATAACCGATGATTATGAACAAGTAGAAAATAATTCTTTTTTAAATCAATAAACAAAAAAAAAAATACTAAAATTTACTTTTGTAGGGTACATATATATATTTTGATTATGAACGATGGCAAACTCGTAAACGTGACAATTTTATATTTGAATACAAGTTTTTGGAAGATCGAGAATTTTGAATATATATAAATATATATTTATACTTGTTGTACATGAAGAGAGAGACAGTGTAAAGAAGAAAAAAAAACAACCATCAGTTTATTATATAGATCTGGTCATTTTTTTTTTTATGTTCGTCAATGTTATTTCTCTCTCATGTGCGCCAGCTTTGTTGTCATCATTTCTTTTTTCTTTTTCTTTTTGAGTGTTGTTTGTTATATTCTCTGTCACCTTATTCGGTTGTTCTTTCTTTTTTTTACGTGTATATCTATCGTGTGTGTGTTTTTTTAACAAGCAACGTCCTTTTTTCGGTCTGTTGAATATGCGATGTCTAAAAAAAAAATCTTATATAACAGATATCGAGTATTGTTGTTTAGTCCTTCTTTTACTTTCTCATATCGAACACATATCGTAATGTATGTTAAGAAGAGATAAAAAACAAAAAAAGAAAGAATGAGAAGCACGGTCTAAATAACAATCATATATATTTGTACAAAAAGCAACCAAGCAAATTATTAGTAGACGAATCGAAAAATAAAACGAATGTAGGTGGTAAGAAAGGAGGAGAAAAAAAAACCAGTTGATACATAAAGCATAGACAACGACGGTGATGAGAGCATTCATATTATCTAGTTGCCTGTGTAAGCAATCGAGCAAAGAGTATTATATTCGATTATAAATAAGAATCATAAAAAATGGTGGGTGTATTTTCATATTTTATAAATGTTGTTTTGTTTTGATTTTAATCAAAAATTTCTTATCTAGCGCGAATGTATTAGTATTCATGTTGGTCAAGCTGGTAATAGAATTCGTTTATTTATTTTCTATAGTAATTAATAAATTGAAAATCATAGGTGTTCAAATTGGTAATGCCTGTTGGGAACTCTATTGCCTTGAACATGGTATTGAACCAGACGGAACACTTAGTCAACAACGTGATAGTAGTCATATCATCAGTAAGATAGTTATGATCGACTATATATTTAAAATAAATTTTATTTATATTTTAGAATCTGTTTCAGGTTTGGTTTATAGATTTAATAATTAGTAGATTCATTTCTTTTTTACTATAGATTCAAAAGAAACATCATTTAGTACATTCTTCAGTGAAACAGGTTAGACATATTTATTTACAATACATACAAAAAAAAAAAAACAAAGTTAATTATTCATTTAATTTTAGGTGCTGGACGATATGTACCACGCGCTGTTTTTGTTGATCTTGAACCGACAGTTATTGGTAACTGTTAATTTGATTATTTTTTTGAATAAATAAATAAATAAATATATATGTATTTAGGTGAAATTCGTCGAGGAACATACGCCAAATTATTTCATCCCGAACAATTGATTTCCGGCAAAGAAGATGCTGCAAATAATTATGCTCGTGGTCATTATACAGTTGGCAAAGAAATTATTGATACTGTACTTGAAAAATTACGTAAAATTGCCGATCAATGTACAGGTTTACAAGGATTTCTTGTCTTTCATAGTTTTGGTGGTGAGTAAAATGATTCAGATGAATAAACAAAAATATTCATACTTTTTTCTTTTCAGGTGGTACTGGATCAGGTTTTACATCATTATTAATGGAACGTTTAAGTTTAGATTATGGTAAAAAATCTAAACTTGAATTTGCTGTTTATCCAGCTCCTCAGGTAGATTAATCAATTGCTTGTCTTCTTTTAAATTATTATATAAATAGGTTTCAACTGCTGTTGTTGAACCATATAATTCAGTTTTAACAACACATTGCACATTAGAACATACCGATTGTGCTTTTATGGTTGATAATGGTATAATGAATTTTTTTTTCACTTTTCTTTTTAAAGATGAAATAATTTATTTTTAAATATTCTAGAGGCTATTTATGATATTTGTCGTCGTAATTTAAATGTTGAACGTCCATCGTATCATAATTTAAATCGATTAATCGCACAAATAGTTTCATCTATAACAGCATCACTTCGTTTTGATGGTGCATTAAATGTTGACTTAACAGAATTTCAAACAAATCTTGTACCTTATCCACGTATACATTTTCCACTTGTTACTTATGCACCTATATGTAGTGGTTAGTTGATTATTAGGATGAAAAACACAAAAAATAAATGATCAACTTATATTTTCTTTTCTTTATTTTTTAGCTGAAAAAGCTTCTCATGAAACATTCAGTGTTCAAGACATAACAAATGCTTGTTTTGAACCAGTTAATCAAATGGTTAAATGTGATCCACGTAATGGAAAATATATGGCTTGTTGTTTACTTTATCGTGGTGATGTTGTACCAAAAGATGTGAATACAGCTATATCAGTTATTAAAACAAAACGATCAATACAATTTGTTGATTGGTGTCCAACGGGTTTTAAAGTTGGAATTAATTCTCAACCTCCAGTAGCTGTACCAGGTCTAAAACCTTTTTTTTTTTTCTTTCTAAATTCTAGTATAAATCAAGATTTGATGAGATCAAAATATTCGAATTGATTTAAATGTCAATTGAAGTTTCAATCGAATCCATCATTTCTATGCAAAATGTTTCTAACAGATTTCAAAATTGAATAAATAAGACATAGTTTTTATGTTTCTTATTTTTGTTTTTAGGTGGAGATGTAGCAAAAGTTCCTCGAGCTGTTTGTATGATATCAAATACAACTGCTATTGCAGAAGCTTGGGCACGTCTTGATCATAAATTTGATTTAATGTATGCAAAACGAGCTTTTGTTCATTGGTATGTTGGTGAAGGTATGGAAGAAGGTGAATTTACTGAAGCTCGTGACGATTTAGCTTCACTTGAAAAAGATTATGAAGAAGTTGGTGCTGAATCATCACATGCAGATCTTCCTAATGAGGGTGAAGAATATTAATTCCATATTATTTAACAGACTTCTACGCTAAATAACTTCTATACTGTCGTCTCTTTTTGTTTTCGATTTCAAGAAAAAAAAAAAAGAAAATTTCTTTCTTTGTTGTTTGTTTTTTCTCGGTGGCAATGATAAGCACACAACAAACATACACACAGATATATAAAGAAGATGAAACAAAAAAAAAAGAGAAACATAGTCATCCAAAACCCAACGAAATGAACACACACAACAACCGTGTAGATATAAGCACACACACACACACACGCACACACACACAGAAACCGTTTTTTTTCTTTTAGTTGTGAATAAATTAAAGGGGGTTTAATAAACGAAACAAAATAAAATGAATGAACTATACGTAAACACGCAGCAGATAATAAAAGCTGATACATACACACAATCGCTTAATAAATAAATAGAGAAACAGACACGGCGGCATAAAAAAAAGAAAAAGAACACAGCATCAACTCACAGAAAAAAACAGAAAGAAAAAGTCGACAGATAATTCAAAAGCATAAACATACAGAAAATTCCATCTTCTTTATTCTTTTGCTTCTTTTTTGTTTACTAAACACACATCGAACAAGTCTCTTGGAGAAACACACAACACGAAAGTATATAGGTTCAATTTCTTTCTTTTTATAGGGCAACAAAAACAAACAATGATAATGAAAAAAAAAAAAGAAAAACGAGAAATAGACAGTTAAAACATATACTCACATAAACAGATCTTTTTTTTTGAAAACAAGATATAACACGATGCTCTTACTGTTCTTCCATCGAATTGAATCTGTTTTTGTTTTTTATTTGTCATACTATGAATTACGACGTGGTTTTTTCAATTCGACCTTCAGTCGTTTGGGACCGACACTAAATCCATCCATGCTTAATATGGCTAAAAGAAAGAAAATTTTTATAGAATTTATAATAAGAATTGTTTTTTTTTTTTTGATTAATGATTATAATTTTGAAGGGTAATTATACTTTTTATGTCAGAAGCGTTCTTCGATGATAGCTAATATTCTTTTTTTTATGGTTCCCTCATGGCACAAAAAACTATGAAATTTAGTATAAAAATAAGTCATGAACTTTGTCTTGTGACAATAGTTTCAAATCATCTGAAGTATAATCAAAACAGTAAACATATTGGATCGAAAAAAGTTCTTATTAATTTTGCTAAGTTTTTTTATTTTACCTGATGAACTCCATATAATCATATTTATCATTTTAGTTTCTAAAAATGACGATTAAAACTAAGCTCTTTCCTATAAAAATATTTCTCTGTTTTGGCTTTTTAATCCTCTCAGTACTGGTTGTCACTGTAAAGTACAGACTAATACTCTTAATTCCATCATATCAATTTAGACATGAGTCAAGACAAAAAATACCTGACAAATACAAATATTTTCTTCTTCTTCTAAGAAATATCTGAGTGTTTTTGCAAACTATTTATTTTTATTTATTGATAGAGCTGAAACAAAAAAAACACATGGTTTTTAATACTAGAGAGAAACGTACAAGATTCTAAAATTTGCAGCCCAAATGAATTCTTCCTTCTCGAGATATTCAATTCTTAAAAACACTAGATTTTTCTGACTTTCTTATAGAATACGAACCATATATGGAAGTTTAACTGCTGAAAACTCATTAAAACAACTATAACTTCTAAAGGAAGGCCGAAAAATGTTTGTCCTTTCAAACTTTTACTAATCTAATTTAGATCTACTTATATGCAAAATTCTCTTGTAAGATTCAAGTTAATTGATTATCTGAACTATTAAATAAAATAAAAAAAATTTCCGAAATAGTTTTGGTGATGTTTGTGAAAGAAAAAAGAAATATCTTCTAGCTAATTCTCAATAAACAAATTGTCATTTCAAACTATAGGGAAAAAAATCCTCGTTCTTCGATATAGTCTTCTAAATCTATTGATTAAATATAAAACATTCATTGAATTCTAAATCTAAATAAATAATTACCTTGTTGTGCCGACGAAGGATTATCATATGAAACAAAACCAAAACATTTTGATTGATTTGTTTTTTTATCAACAAATACCTAATAAAAACAAAACAATATTTCAATAGATTTAATCAACAAAAGAAAACAATCGATATTAACCTTCGCCGACAAAACTGTACCAAATTGTGAAAATAAATTCATTAATGTTTGATCAGTTGTTTCTTGTGGTAAATGACATATAAATAAATTCGAATTTTCAGGTCCAATTTGTTGTTTACCACTTTTTGTTGTACGATAAGCTTGATTAGGTGAAAAACGCATTGTTGATAAATATGATGAATTATTTGAAAATGGTAAATAACCATCTGTATGATCATAACGATCATTAAATATATTTGATGATGTTGTTGGTGTTGGTAATGATTGTGGTAGTGGTAGTCCATTTTGTTGATATTGTGATGGTGAATTCATATATAAATGATTTGTAAATGGTGATGATGGTTGATAATAAAATGATGATAAAATTTGTTGTTGATCATTTGTTTGTGATAAAAATGAATTTGGATAAGATGATGATGATGATGATGATGGTGGTTGTAATTGTAGATCATTAAAACGATTAACCATTTGATCTAAACTTAATTTTTGACTATCCAATGAATGACGATTACCAAGTAAATTATTATTATTATTATTATTATTATTAATGTTACGTCGATCAATATCATTTGAAAATATATTTGATGATGATGATGGTGATGGATCGTATAATGAATCATTAAAACATGATGATATAAGAGGTAATTGTTGTGAAGAATATGGTGATGATGTTGAATCATTTGGAAATTGAAAACGTCCTGTTTGACTTATATGATGATTATTACCATTTAAAATATTTGCTGGTGATGATGGTAATGGACTAAAATCATGATTATGATGATGATTTAATTGTCTTGGATAAGGTAATTCATCTCCACCAATATCACTACCAAATGGTTCAGATGGCCATGGACGATTAGATGGTGAAAGCAATGATTCATTCCAATAATGATCAGATCCTGATTGATTTGATGTCGACCAAATAGGAGTTCGATTATGAAATAGACTAAAACTATCTATTGGATCATTACCTCCATTAGGATTAGTATTATTAGTGCCACCGCTTGTCATCGTCATAGCGGACATGATATTCCGACTATTATTTTGAGGAGATTGGCCAATTTTACGTCCTTACTCACTCAAAATCTAGAAAAATATAAGAAAACATAGATATATATAAATATATATATTGTATAATTTTTTTTATATTTGTCTTTTGTTACTTATCGATATATATGTGTGTTTTCAAAAAGATTTATATTGAAAATAAATGACTTACACGCAGAACGAAAATTTCGATCCGTGTAACCAAATAAACTAAATTAAAAGCGGAAGAAGGGTAAGCAAAATATCTTCACTATTTATACGCTCAGCTGTTCCCCTGGATAACCCATGTTCTACATTGTTCTTCATTTTCTCTCCATCTCTCTTTCGTTATTTTCTTAAACATAATGATTCGCTAACATAGACGAGATGAGATTGCACTCGATTGTTGTAATTCGTTCATTTCGCGTTTCGTCTATAATATACAAGATGATAACCATATACGAATAAAGCAGACGAGATAGAATACAGAGGGAAATACAGATATACATACAACGAGAAAGAGGCCTTGGCTTGTTCGATGTATTCGATTTCTTTTTCACTCTCTCTCTCTCTTTCTTTCTTTTATTCACCCTCGTTTACATATATGTTATGTCAGTATGGGTAAGATATAACACAATAATAAAAAAAAGAATCAAACATGCACACAACTTGGAAACCATGCTTGAGCGTGATAGTGTGCACATCGAAACAAACAAACATACACATTGTATGTGTTTATTTCTTGTTAGACAACGAACAAATTTTTTTTTAAAAATGGCTGAAAAAGAAAATATTACATTTTTAGTTCACTTTATGTAAACTAATCATTTATTAAATGTTTTTCTCGACAAAGAACTTCAATAGTGTTACTTTTGTTTGTCGCTCATATGACTCGGATATATTCATTGGTTATCCAGAATTTACCAATTATATGGAGGAAAAAAGAGAAAAAGACATGGAGAAGGAAGACGTTGGTATTGGATGTATGCCAAACAGACAAATCGAATCACTCTTTTTTAATGTATATTTTTTCCATAAAAGAACTAATACTATGACTGGATTTAAACTATTTCTTGATGTTTAATGTGGTATGGATACATTTATCGATTAAATTAAGACAATTCTATAAAACATGGTAAAATACTTACGACACAAGTAAAACAGATATTTTTCTTCTAATCTTATACTAAATAATTATTTCTTAGGATAGTCTAATTAAGCTATTATCAAATAATTTCACTGTAAGACAGTCTGATTTTTTTCTATTGAACATAAAATTCTATTTTTTATAGGATAAATATCTAAATGATTACAAAGTCGATGAATTTATTAATGAATATCATAGATGTTTTGTTGCATCAAATAGATTTTAGTTTGAGAATCTTTTTAGAACAGATTTACTTTGATCACATGGTAAAGAATATTTTTATTATGATTATTTATGTTTAAATATAGTTTTATATTTTAGAATATGATTGAACTAAACAATTTTCATCATCTGTTAATTCACAATGAATGTCAGAGAATGAAGAAAAAAATATGTAAGTTTATATAAACTATCGAGAAAAATAAATAATAAAATAGAATGTAAACTCAATATCTAATCAATATTATTTCTAGAATAAAATAAAATAATCTATATCATTTCAATATGAATTCCAAAAAAACTAATCATGAAAATTAACTTGAAAACTATTATCTAGATTATTTTCATAACAAAATGTTTGTATCTCTCTAGTTTATTGTCTTCTTCATCTTTTATTCTCCATTCAAAACCATTTTTTCTTGATTAACAAAGCATCTATTATTAATGCATACATTGATGATTACTACCATTAAAGTTACACAAAAATATTTGCTAGAAATCATAAATACAAATACTAAACAAGAAAGAACGATAACATTGTGATATGTGATCATTCATCAACTAATATTATATTAAGAAAAATTTTGATATGATTTTTTAGTTCTGATATATGACGATAGCATGTTTTTCAATGTGTGTTCTTTTATTGCTCTTCTCTTTGAGAGGGTGTGGGGGTGGGTGTGATTGTAAGAGAAGAGGATACGAACACTCACACACACAAAAAGATGGGAAAATGAAGAATATACATCGAATACAATATGATCTAATTTTATCGCGACCTTATCTTGACAAACAGCTTTTATCGAAATTTGATTGTCGTGATATTAGTTGACGGATAATCAAATATCACATAAATGTAGAGCACTTTTTTTTTACTATTAATACATATGCATAGAAAATTCCCCCAAAAAATGTTCTATAATATGGAAATCAAATACCTCTGCCATTACTTTTGAATAGCTCTAAGTAATATATTATTTAATCTATAGGTAAACTCGATGTTTAAAAAAATATGACTTTGATAATTTATAGATCATGCAGATATTTAATCGAAATATAAGTTTAATAAAACTAATTTATTTTTTGCTTCACCAAGACAGTTCTTAAAACAGTATTTTGTTGTTTAAACTAGTATGTATTGTCTAAAATTATCGTTTATTACACCAAAACACCGTTTCGAATCAAGAAATAGCCTCTCATGAACGGCAATGATACGTTACTTTATGTATCTAATCACCACATACATATAATGACATTCCGATGCCGTTTATGAAGATCAATATTTTGCTTCGAAACGGTGTTTAGGTGTAATAAACCGTAATTTTGAAGTTTATGTTTAAAATCATCTTTTTCATATAGAGAAGAGAACATTTATTTTAATCTGCATTTCAGCTCATTATTGTTGGAACATTTCTTTAATAGAAGGAAATCTTGAGCGTCCTGACTTTCACCAAAAGTACTTACGAAATCATGATAAAACATCGGTAGTTGCCATAAAAAATGTCCATATTTATTTTTAATAGACATAAGATAAATCGTTGGTTTCAGAAGTTTTATATCATGTTTCGAACATTTATATTGTGTTTTATGATCACTTGAATTGATGAGTTTAGGTCCCCAAATGATTTAAAGTTTTTGAGTCCATATTATGCCCGATTATAGAGGATCGATGGATTAAAGTTTTCAGGTAAAAATTCGACAATAGAATTTTGTCGAAAACTTGGGCCCATACAAATAAAATTCACTAAAAAGTCAGTATCTCGATCAAACGTTAACATCAACACGAACTCTTAGGAGACTATTCTAATTGCTAGGTTTTCTACTGTTGGGCAAAATACGGGCTCAAAAGCTTTTCATAATCTCGGGACCTTCTTTCGTGTGAGAATAATTTCACAAAAGACACATGATTTTTAGACTTACAGGAATACACATCATATGGAAATAATGCCATCAAATGTAGTTATATCATCTTTGAATATGTAGATTAAAAAATGCTTCTAAAAAGAAACTATTTTGTTAATCATAAAGTATTCTACTTTTAATTATTGTGGTTTAGAAGAGAAAATTAATTAATCGTGGAATATTCCTTGAGGACTTCAAAACATTTTTCAGATACTTTCTTTTCTTATCAAATTTCAAAATTAAATACTAGCTGTGAATTCGTCATATTTCATTGTTTTTTTCTGTTTTAGATGCAATTTAAAATGAAAATGACCAAGATGATTCTGCTATTCTTACATTAAATAAGTAAAATTCTTTTTTTTGTTGTTGTTTTATTCTCTAAAAGAATCGTTGATCTATAGATATGCTGAACTTCAGTCAAAAAAAAAAGATCTATAAACTAATATATATATATAACATTACCTTTATGTTATGGAAATGAAATGTTAATAAAAAAGAAACATTGCATTTCCTATCTAAATGGTTCACAAATAATGATAAATATTCTCATCTTTTATCGAATCGTCGGTTATATTCAATCACAATTAAGAAAAACAAGAATGATTGATGAGTATGTCATCGTCTTTCTACTTAAGAATAAAGTATTTCAATTGACCAATTGCTTTTTTCTCTTCTCGAAACATACACAACTGCAGACAATTCGTTACATTGATTCTGAATATTCCGGGTTCTAGTCATTCTTAGGTCTGTGTATTATTCTTTGTCATAACTATCAATCCTCATTTGACTAGGAGATTTTTCATAAAATTCAATAACTAATTAATCTAACCATGTATCATTCGACAAAAAACAAATGTCTCGAGGGATACTTTTGTTTGTGACAGAAATTTCAGCCTTAAGTTTCAAGTGCCAAAATACACCGTAAGACAAAAAAAGTGTCTTTTTTTCAAGATTTGATTATTTTCTTAAATAATGAAAGAAAAAAAGATATGCTTTATATTAATGTTTGGGTACTAACATATCTATGTTCATATCATAATTGAACTCATACTAATATTGATTCTATCTTTACTATTCTAGTCATATGTACTATTTGTATTTATTTCTTAATTGATAAAAACATCCATGATCTAGTCTATTTCCTAGTTATCTATCAATACTATTGTCTTTGCTCATTCTTGGAATTGATAACATAGAAATATTTATCATATCTAAGGAATACCGCTAGTTCTAGATTATTTACCATGTTCTCATTTGTTAGTCTATAATAAATAGATGAAAATAAAGGTCAGAAGACTATTCGAAATCAGTATAAGAAATATTTTTTTGTCTGCTAAGTTACGAGAAAAGTATCCGAAATGTCTCAATTCGTTGTAATTCATTCATAGTTCATTCCATAGATTTTATTGAAGTAAGAAAAACTTTCAGAGGTTTTAGGTCCATGGCCTATTAGCAAAGTATTATAACTGTTTTATTGAAATTTTTATTGAGAACCATTCATTATCGATTAAAACGAAATGAAGACTTTTGATCTAAAATGTTGCCTATAAATAGATTTCAAGTTTGGAAAGTTTCAACGAAAACGAATATATCTTTGTTGAGATATTCAATTTCCAAAAGAAAAGACAACGGCTTACTACAGGAGGACAAAGCAATCGTATCTATTTGGAAATTGAATATCTCAAGAAAGATATGTTCGTTTTTCTTGAATGGTTCTTAACAACAACTTTAGTAAAATGGTCATAATTGTTCGTCAGTAGACTACAGACCTGAAATTTTTAAGACTATTTTCTTCATCCAAGAAAATTTATCGAATGATGTAATAAATGAATCAAAATCATGCTGGAAACTTCTGATACTACTTTCCTCGTGAGTAATTAGAAATGGGATTGGATGTATAATGCGCTTGTCAGAAGAGGATTAAATGCTGTAGTAGTAGTATAGAATCTAAAGAGAGCCGTAGGGGTCGCTACAATCTTGATATTCAGAATCCGAACAATAATTTCGCATATATTTCGAGGAGCAAAACAATTGGGCATATAGGAGATATTTCTCGTTAGTTATTTGAAATATTTTCTTTATTTAGATTGATTTTTACAAGCAATCTCATTATCAAATACTTCCAATAAGATTGATTTTGATGTTGAAGTATAAAAAATTTCATAAGATTTCACATAAAAGAATTTTGCTTTTTCCAGATATTCCTTAGTATTTTATTTTATTTGCATGCTGATAATAATAAAACAGACAGAATGTTTTAATACAACCGTTCTTCCTAAATCGAACGTATGTTTTCGTTTCGTAAAAGATAGTAAAATATATATTTATCTATTTTGAGTTTAGTTTTGATCGACTACGAAAGTAAACAAAATAGATTAGTATGATCACAGAATTTTCTTTTTAAAAGATGGCTTCTAAATATTAGGTGTCTAAAACTAAATTTCATTTGTTTTCTCGATGTGTGATAACATCAAAAAACGAACGAATAAAGGCTTGAAGAGAATTGCACCACAACACATATGAATAATTCTTTTTCATATGATAGCAATGTTCATATTAATACGTCTGTCATTTGAAATATTTTTTTACACTTTTTAATGTTAGTAATACCAAAGGTCCTTGGTTCTTTGTTTTATTAGTCTGATAAATGATAGTAGTTATAGCGAAAAAGCAGTTTTATGCTTATTGTCATGTATTAACAATTATCAATGAATTTTATTCGTACTCGTTGTGATCATGATTTTATTTTAATACATATAAATAAGGTATTGAGAATTTTGTAAAGAAACTTACGAGAAAATGTTTTCAACTGATCAATTATTTTCGTTACCGCAAGCGACTAAACTATGGATTTTCGACTATGGAAAATCTCCTTAGGTCTTTATATGTTGATTCTCTAGACTAGCTAACGTGTCTTTAAAATAGTTTTTGACTTACTTGGATTATAGAGCATATCGAGTTGTCTATTAAGTCCGTAATATTTTCTATTTTCCAAAAATGAGTTTTAAGTAAATAATATCATGCAAATTTTCGCATTAAAATATTTGATATGTATCTGTTGGATGAATTATAATGGATGCATTTTTCGTAATCAGTAATATCGATAATCTATTAACCAACAGCTTTCTTTAGATGTTAAATAAATTTACCTATTAAATAACAAAATAAAAGTATTGCTTCACAAGGTTAACATTAGAGTTCGTCGGGTCCAAAATTGGAAAGCGGCACGGCCAAGCGTTACGGAATTTCATTTTTTCAACTTGTGAGATAAATATCTTCTCAATAACAAGAGAAATGCTTCTGAAATTTTGGACATACATAAAGGTAAACTAGCTCTGTGAGCACTGAAAATTTCATGGAGTTATCACAAGCCATAGCGAAATTATTTGAAAAATATCGTTCGTTACGGAATTTCAAAAAATGGACAAAATTTTTAGGGATGACTCACATTTTAGCATTTTTATNCTCTTTTTCCACGGAGGACAGTTTAGTGCCATTTTTATGATAATTTTACCTGTTTAATCTAACCTTTTTTGTTCCGTAACGATTAAGAATATTGTTTTATATAAATCGATTAGTTCATTTTCATCTTCTTTTGAAAATTTCATTGAAAATTCCATTCATTATTTTGACAAAAATGAAAGGTTAAAAAGTGAAAAAACAGTGAAATTTCGTAATTATTCGTGCTTTTAAACTCGTAGGAAAGAAAAATGATATTGGTTTTATGTGTCAGCTGTGTAACTCGGAATACGGAACAAACTTAATAATATTTCAAGATCATACTCTCTATAACAAATTTTTTTTTCTGAATCTTACTGATTTCGAATCTTCCCCAACGAAGGGGACCGATGGCTGGCCGTGCCGATAGCCGTCTTGAAGATACGAGATACCTTTTTCTGTTTTTTTTTGTATTCGGTAACTAACGCCCTCTACACCTATCTCAAACCACTAGAACTCATCGGATTCTAAATTTTTCGACCGAGTCTCTGAAAACCCCGACGTTGTCTTATCTACATAAACAAATATCTGATATAAAATTTCTATTTATTGTTTAAAATATAAAGTTTATGAAAATTATTTTATAAATTCGAAATTAAATAAATTTATTTTTATTTTTATTTGTCTTGTTTCTCAATTTTATATATATCTAATTTTATATGTATATCCATTTGTTTAACAGTCAGAAAGCATTACAATGATTCATGAGCATGATTTAATCTTCATGGTAAATATTCATTATTATTTTTTCTCGTTCGTTTCTATGTATGATGTAACATCCTGATGTAATGTCGTGCCGAAGAAAATTCTATGTCCTATATGATATAATAAAATGAAATAAAAAATGATGCAAAAGGAGAGTTATTATTGCAATAGCAAGACGAACGTTTTCTTCTTTTTTTTATAAATAGATTTTCATTTTTTAGATTTTCTTTTGTATTTAACACACGAAGAATGGCTGAAGCATTATTACCAGCTGATGAAAAACACAAATTAATTACACGTAATCTTCAAGAAGTTATTGGTGATGATCGTTTACGAAAGATTTTGGCAGAACGTGATCTTCGTGTTTATTGGGGAACAGCAACAACAGGTCGACCTCATATTGGTTATTTTGTACCAATGACTAAAGTAGCTGATTTTTTACATGCTGGTTGTGAAGTAAAAATTTATTTTTAAAATTATTTTCTGATATTATTAAGAATAATTTTTTTCTTCTAAGGTAACAATACTTTTTGCTGATCTTCATGCTTTTTTGGATAATATGAAAGCACCATGGGAATTATTAGGTCATCGTACTGTTTATTATGAACATGTAATTAAAGGAATTTTAAAATCTATTGGTGTACCACTTGAAAAATTAAAATTTGTACGAGGAACTGATTTTCAACTATCTCGAGAATATACACTTGATGTTTATCGTTTATCTTCTGTTGTCACAGAACATGATGCTAAAAAGGCTGGTGCAGAAGTTGTTAAACAAGTTTCCTCTCCGTTACTTAGTGGTTTACTCTATCCAGGTTTACAAGTATGTAGTTTGATTGATTAACAATAGAAAAATGTTTGCGATGTTTTTTTTTATTTTTGTAGGCTCTTGATGAGGAATATTTAAAAGTTGATGCTCAATTTGGTGGTGTTGATCAAAGAAAAATTTTTACATTTGCTGAAGAAGTCTGTTTTTGTTTTTTTTTCTTGTATGTATTTATAATTTTCTGATTTCATTTAGAATTTACCAAGTCTTGGTTATGCAAAACGTATTCATTTAATGAATCCAATGGGTAAATATTTATTAGTATTGACAGACTAAATTAGCAAAAGAAATATTCCAACGGATCAATTCCTTGAACTGATCAATTTGAACAATTTTGTAAACACGGAAGTGACCTTTTCAAAAATAGAACAAAAATTGTTCGGGCAGTTCAAGAGGGACGTATCTTCTGCTGATTAATCGCTTTTGAGATAAGACTATGGGTATTATGTAGATTCAAATGAGCTATGAATATTCTGAAAAGATCTCGTGCTATTAGCTTATTGCTGTAGAAGTACTACATTTGTACAGTATTTTTTAAATAATTACCGTGGTTTCCCGCTGAAGAACACTAAGAAAACTTATTTTCGAATTTCAACTTGAAACTTTGGATAGAGGCAGATCTTAACGAGAGTAGTTTATTGTGAAAGTTTGAAAACATTAAGGCATATCTTTATGCAAAGTTTCAAGTCAAAATTTAAAAATCAGCTTTTCTGAGGAAATCAAGGCTAAGAAACTGCGGGTCCTTCCAGGTCTGGGTCCACAAAAACGTAGACCCGCAGTTCTTTACATTGGTTTATCAAATGCCTACTACATTTCCTTTTTTGTTAACATCATGGTCTTTTCAACTAATCGAAAGCGTTTAATTTGTTGAGTATTGAGTGATGGAAATGTGAACAACAGGAGATCAATGTACGTCGATTTTTTCCTTTGAGAGTAACTCATAAATAACTAAAACCTTGATTCTTCATTTGTTCATGTACACAAAGAGGGCGCCAGATACTAATGAATAAAAACTCAGATGAGGACCGAATCCACATAAACGTGGACCCACAGCTTCCTAATCACGGTATTCATATAAAAAATACTATAAAAATGCAGTGTCTTCGTAGCAATAAGTTAACAACACGAATTCTTCAGGATATTCATAACTTATTTGGTTCTAAATAACGTACATAGTCTCAATTCGAAGGTAATTTGTCAATTAGGAGAGTTTCCTTGTCAGTTCCTATCAAAAACGCTGCTTGAGTCATTCTTGCAATCTGAACTGAACTTGTCGATCTCTGTTTATTATTATTTTATTAAATCATTTTATTATTTAGTTCCTGGTTTATCTGGTGAAAAAATGAGTGCAAGTGTTGAAGATAGTAAAATTGATTTACTTGATACACCTGACCAGGTTAAAAAGAAACTTAAGAGAGCTTTTTGTGAACCAGGAAATATTGAAAATAATGGTGTACTTGCATTTTGTAAAGGTGTTATTTTTCCATTACTCAAGGATGAAAGTTAGTCAAGACAAATTTTAATAATCTCAAAAATATAAAAGAATTTCATTTTTCTTTGTAAAGGTCTAGTACTTCCACGATCAGCTGAATATGGCGGACCAATGACGTTTATTAATTACACTCAATTAGAAGAAAGTTTTGCTAAACAAGTATGAAAAGAACTTTAAAATAGATTTTATATGATATTTTGTTGTATAGGAAGTACATCCAGGTGATCTTAAGAATGGTGTTGCAATATATCTTAATCGATTACTTGATCCAATTCGAAAAGAATTTGAACCTGAAAGCATGCAGAAAATAATATTAAATGCTTATCCACCACCAGTTCCAGTGCAACAGAAAAAGAGTAAAAAAACAAAAACTAATTCTTAAAAAAAAGACATTAGAGAGAATTATGAGGTCAAGTTCTTCGAGTCTAAGAGAAAGAAAATTTTTATAAATATATATACGTATTGTTGTTTCTATTTTTAGTTTTTTTCGTTTAGTGTAGTTTACGTTGTTTGTTTTTCTTTTTTCTTTGGTCTAGTTGTTCGTCATTATGGTTATCCATTTGATGACAATGAAGATACGTCTTAGCAAATACTTTTCGTTAGTCTATTATATGAACGGTGAATTTCAATGGATTAATATTATCCAAAATAGACTCATTTATTTGAACAATTCATAAGAAGTGATTACGAATGTATTATCATCCCTAGTTAACTTTTCCCAGACAAATTCCCGTGGAGTGCCCAACATTTTGCGAAATTTTCGGGGAGTTTAAAAACAAAAAATAAAGTTTGTGACGAAATATTTCTACGTATATCCAAGAAGTTGAGAAAAAAACGAAAAAAATTTGGGGAGATTTTCCAGGGACTCACCAAGAAATCCCCCAAATTTTATGTGGTTTTTTTTCTCAAATTCTTGGGTGTTCCAAGAAATATTTCGTGACAAACTTTATATTCTGTTTTTAAACTCCCCGAGAATTTGTCTGGGGAAAGTCGACCAGGAATGTTATGATCAACAGCTCGAGCTGTTCGAATTTGTAAATGAACTAGAACCGAAAATGATATTTTAGAAAAAAGATAAGACATCATTACTACCATCGATGAACTTATGTTTAATGCCAGTCAAATGACAGTCGAAGCGAGCAGCTATCATCGACTCGAATTCGTGTTTTGTCCTGATTGAATCTAAAATATTCTACATTAAGAATTATTTTAATTTTGAAAGCAATAAGTCTCGCTTTCATTAAAGCAAAGAATCAACTTGAATAAAGTTATTTCTTTTTTGCAAAACATAATCCGTACGTTTGTGGCATTTAGTGTCAAATAATTTCATAGGAGAAAAGATAAGCTTTTCATAGGATTGTAACTGTATAAACTCAAGAACTATTGTAAAGTTGATTCAGCTCGTTAGAAAAACAGCTAGTCAAACAAGTGTTATTCAATGTGTTCGAATTCATAAGGGCAAAATCATTCGTATGAAACGTGACTTCGCGGAATAAGAATACGTATATCTCGAGATAACGAACTTTCCTAGAGGTAATTTTTATATGTTACATGTTTGTTAAGTTACTCTAGATACTCTGAAGAAAAAGTGCTAGAGACCTTTGCTCAAAAGTGTTATCAACACAACGCGAAGTACGAATGTAATGAGAAGTTCAAAACGAATTCTAAACAATATAAATTTTCCTTCAGAATTTCCAGATGATGTTAAAACAAAAAAAACATTGTTTCGGGACTCGATACGATTTCCAAAAAAAACTAAATGAAAGGTATATGATATATTTCGCTTTGTCCATATATCAGCTCTCGCTTTTGGACATTAATATGGAACTGTTACAGTATTATCACTGATTCTTGTCTAAACTTGAGATGATCATTATTATTCTTCGGTGTATAGTAAACGTAGGTAGATGTTTAATTTTGTTCCTTTGAAAATTATTTCTTGCGAACATATCTTTATTTAAAAATTGTTTTCTTCTTTCAAGAAAAACCATCTGGTCAAAAAGGACAACGACCCACTACAACAACAACAGCAAATGTATCTGAATTAGCACAAAATGTGGAAGAAAATCTTATCATTGAAAATGGCGCAAGTTCAAAACCGACAGCTGGCGAAGAAAAATCTCAGTCAACAATCAATCAAAATGACAAAGCTTAATTTGCATAATGCAAATTTTATTTTATTTTGTTTTTCAATATTTTTCATTGCCTATCAAAACGTGTTGTTTGTGTTTTTCTTGTTATACCATATAAACGTGAACGTTAACGATTTTAATAAGGGAATATATAACTAATATCATTAGAACAAAAGGATATATTGTTTAAAAAAACACAACTATAACATTGAGACTTTTTTATCTATAGCATATAAGATGCAAAAAAAAAGCAGAGGAGGAATTGAGAATTGATCGATTAGTCTTATCTTTCGTGAAAATGTTAATCTTGACCGATGAACAATGTGCAAAAAAAGAGAGAGAGAGAAAGAGTAAAAAAAAGAAAGAAAGAAGAAATGGGATGAATATAATGCTCATCGTATAATACGAATAATCAATTCAATAAAATTCATTTTGTGTCATAAACGGTAAAGAATCAATTGAAAAGGTAATGCGAAAGTTTATATTTCATGATAAAGAATGAGAACAAATCTTTTTACCTATTATTCTAAATTTTAATAGACTTCTAACATTGAACATGTGTGTGTCGTCATGTTATTTCTTACCAAGAAAAACCGAAAAAGTTCATCTTGTGATTGACAACTAAGATCATTTTTAATCAAATCATTATTAGATAAAACGAACTATTTCATAAACTCTAAAAACATCAAAATGTTCATCACTCCATCAATACTTCCTATGAGATCACTACTAATTTCTTCTCGACGTGTTTTTATCATCTTCAGTTGAAGATAAATTCTCATTGTACTATTTTGAACAATCAAAATAATTTATTCTAGTGATTTGTGCGTCAAACTCAATGTTTTTAGACGATATATTTGAGAGTAACACACAGAAAAAGAAATGTTTTATTTCGGGACGAAGCTCGAGACCATTTGACACAGACGTTATATTTCAATTGTACTTCAGATTTCAATGAATGATAGCTCTCATACATTGAAAGTCACATTAAGTTTTTGATTGGTTCCAAAGCATTATAGCCAGAATAAAATCAACAATTGTTGACTTTCTTTTATTATTTCGTTGCAGAAAATAATACAATGATACACATGTTTAGTGATAAGAGTTTATTAAAATTGTCAAAAATAGCTATAAAGAATTGATTTTGTGATACGACTGGAACATTCAATAGTGCGTCTTTTGAAGAAATAGATAAACGTTTTATCATATTCCTGCATAGAGTTAGATGCAAAACAAAAAATATTGCACAACTTTTGTCACACTCGATAAGAAACGTCCGTCTTCATGCTCAAGGTATAAAATAAATTATATGTCTTGAAAATTCATAGTAAGATTCTTATTAATAGATATCAGTTTACAGTATATTGTTCTTGTAAGATTATAAATATTCGCAAAAATCCATAATCGAATATACTCTATAAACTTTTTAATTATTTTTCGATCATGTCAAATATGTATTGATTTTATTGTTATACTCATCAACAAGTGGTCCTAAATGAGTAAATGTCATAAAACAAAAAAAAAAAAAAAGACAACTTAAGCGATTATTTTTTTTATGTTACAGACAAAAGAATTTATCTTCTTTTAAGGTCAATAATAAATAGCAAAAAAATGTGTTTTGCGCAATAACACATTAGTTTTCTTTTTATTTCGTTCTTTCGAGACCATCTAATATAGAACTATCACAATCATAATTTTGCACAAAAAAAAAACTCTGCTCATACAATCATATATTTATTTCCGTCTTTCCTAATTGTCTCATTTGGAATTTGAAAAAAACAAAGAAAAAGATGCGTAACAAACTATTATTGACTAGCTATCGAACTGAGAAGTAAATTAAATTTCATTCAACAATAAAAATTAAATTATTTTTTAATTTGAATAGAAGTATTGGACGAATGGAAAAACGTGAAATCAATGAATTAGAACCATATTTAGAAAAACGAACAGTTTTTATGTGGTTACCACAAAGTGATACGGAATATTATGCATCTGAAATATTTCATGCAAATCTAAAATTATCTCAAAATAAACGTGATCTTATGAATGTTTCGGATTATTTATTATGGTCAATTGGAAATTTTCTTCTTTTTTTTGTCTTAGGTGTTATTTGTGTTATTTTATCTGTACGTGTACGTGAACATAAACGTAATAAAGATTATAATGCATCATTAAAAATTTCACAAAGAACATTAATAATGAATATTTTTACTACTATTATTGGTATTTGTTTTCTTGTTACAATGTTAGCTTTATTAATTAATAAATCATCTACAAATTTTTAAGTGATTTATTCATTTCCTTTCTTGTTTTTTTTGCTGTTTATATATGCAATAAATTTTTAAGTTTATTGAATAATAAATCATGTGATGGCTTCATTATGTCAATTGATTTTCGAATTCTTTTTTGTTTTTAAGTAATATCAATTTCTATGTGTTATTCATGATTATATTTTCAATGACATCAAGCTCGATCATATAGGTGTTCGCTGAGCTATCCATGTTCTTTCATTTTTATCAAAACACAAGAGAAATTTCTGTTTAAATAATTATTACACGGGCACATTTTTCTTATCTTTACTAATGTACACTTTGCTTTAATGTAAAAAACAAATACAGCTTGTCATCAATAATTTTTTTTTGCTTCTGCTTACCTATATTGGCAAGACTGAAGATAAAAATAGTATGAGCGCCTCGAATTAGATCTGATTAATATTGTTGCCTATTTATATTCATCATTAACATAACGTCAATGGAAAGAATATGATTAAAAAAAGAAACTGGCGACATAGCTTGTTTTTATACAGATAAAAAAATATTCAGGTGAATATTCTTCATTAAATTATTAAATGCATAAATCACTGTGCAATAAATATATATCATTCAAAAAAATAAAGATCAAGATAATTTTTCTTATTTGCAAATAACAAAGAGAAATTTAAATCATAGTTTCTAATAATCATTTCCTTAGAAATTTAAAAAAATAGAAAAATGATTTTGTCGAATGATGAAAACAGACGTTAATATTGAATGTATTTCAATTTTGTTGATTAAACTATTTGTTTTAATAAATGTAATCAAAATAAACATAATTTCAATGTCAATTACCAGGCTCCTATTCGATTTCGTCGATTGAGTCAGGAAAAAAAAGATTGCATCGATAAGAATAAATTTCTTTTATTTTTTATTTATTTACAAGACAATTTATTGGTGAAATTTTCTATTTGTAAGAGTGAATCGTCACACATCATTGAAAAAAGTAGAACTTGTCGGTTTGTCTATACTTCATCAAGAAACAGATGAAAATAAATTCTTAACGCAAAGTATTTCACGTGATACACACACTATTTGAAAAAGAAACTAATGATCAACAAGTCGTGTCATTACCGTATCAAACCGAAATTGAAGTTTGTAACATAATGATTGTTAACATTACATTTTTTTTGTGACACTCAGTTGGTTTCCTTAAACGATTCAAGAAAAAGGATAAAAGTATTATATTGATGTGACATTTTTTCACGAGGATGATCAGTCGATAATGTAAAAAAATTGTTTATTATAAACTCGATACATTCTGATCTCTAAAATTTGCTTTGCATGATTTCAAATAAATTATTAATATACAAATTGATAATTATTGTTTTCTTTTTTGTTTTCGAAATCTAATGATATTATTCGAGAAATATATTCGAAAAATATCGAAAAAAATTTTCTTGTAAGTCTTTCTGTTAATAAATTGAACAAAAAAAAAACAATCACAAAACAAACTGATTCATCTGTATTCTTTCATATTTTCACATTTAAGAAAGATTTGAAAATTGTGACTAATTGCAATGTATTTTGTCAAACTGACATAACAGAAAATGTTGAGATACAGGTCAATGATTTTGGCAGGAACCCAAAGGAAAGATGCTGTTTTTGGTCGGAGAAAAGTAAGAATTTCTAAGTACAAGTCCTATGATCATATCCGGTCAGCAGATTTTAAACTTTCAACTTCCTACCATTTTCTGGTCGTATCTCATTCACATGAGCACAAAATGAAAACAAACTAACGGCTAGACGAAATTAGAATATTGTTTTGATCAATTAGAAAAGGTAAACAAAAATATACGATTGGAATATCAAAAACTTTCTTTTTACTTCAGAATATTTGTTTAAAAAAATATTGGAGAAGCAATAAATTAATTTAATTTATTTTTGAATATCTACTCTACTTTGAATAACATTTGGTTGAACAAAAAAAGGTTTTCCTCTTGTACACGAACTCCTTACGAGTTCGTTTGTGGACAATAACTTCATTGTGATGGTATTTTTTTTCTTTGAAAAACAGTTCATCAAACTGAAATTATTGATGATGAAAGCCTTTTCACTTCAGTTACTGAGACAAATGATGATTCAATTGATGATAAAGATAATAGTCATATTAATTTCGACATTAGTATCAATATCGAAACAGTCGGTCTTATTAAACGACTTTCTATGATGATGATGTTTTTTATTCGTGAATGAATAAATATACAATCAACAGCGAAATCATTATCAATTGCAGTAACAACATCAACAACAACATGATACAATTCGTAAAGTTGCTCCAGAATATTGTGTATCAATTGGCGAAAAAAAAAACAATAAAACTGCATCACACTGACTTGAATATTAAAGTAAATAACTTGAATTATTGTGTTGGAAGGATTCAAAGCTATATTCTCTTAGTTTCACAATCCAGCATGCTCGTAATTTCCAAGACAAGCATGCGACAAAAATATATTCATATTAAAAAAGAAAATCTTGTGTTTTTTTGCTCAATGAAATATCATTTAAAATAGGTTGGATGTTTTCAATCGTCTGTTTTTCTCTAACTTCTGTGATTTATCAAAACAAGAAAATGTTAAAAGGTTGTCTCGTTAAAATTAGAATTCTAACTTTGGTCACAACGAATGTAAGTATATTTCGATGTAATATAAATATAAACGAAAAGAGTATAGGTATGTTTTTCTTGTGCTTGTTTATTATCGATGCATTTT